TTGGAAGGGTTTATATTATCATATAGAAGGGGTGCACTTTTCTAATTGGTCATGGTTGACATGCATGTTTGCAAACTTGGTACTTGCATCAAGAGCTCTGACTGGCATCCTAACAAAATAAATTCATACTACACTGATGCCTGGGTCACATTTGCTCCGTTTGTTCAATATTGTATTCAATTTGAACAAAATACTCAATCGGCATGGCGCCGTAGTGAAAATCGGAGCAATCTGCATTACTTGTGCATAGTGTATACCGATAGCCTTACCATATTCTATGGCCACTGAAGAATTGGCTAGAGACTCGAGTAACAATAGCCCATTTTCAGCATAGCAATTTCTAAGAAAGGTTTCCAAAATGCTCCATCGTGGAATACCTTGACCCTCTCTTCTTACATGATAGACACACGGACATGTTTCTAGATGCGATGTGTACCAGAATGAAAGCTTTCGCTTCTTCCTAATTTTGCGGGAGGGTGCAAAGTACTTTCTTGATCATTAAAAATAAATGCCATTGTCACAGGAACTCTGCATTTTATGTAAATCCATTGAATATTTATCTGCATGCTCAAAGTTAAGTTAAGAAGATCAGATTCTTTATAACACTTGATCCAAATCTATTTGATATTCAAAATCTAAGTAAACCTCTCTAGTTGAAGAACCAACTATCTATCATATTACTCAGATTGGATTAATCAATATTCTCATACTCTCTCTAGTTTGTATGAATGAATTACCCTAAACATCATGTGAAAGACTTCTCAGAAAATGTGCCCAATATATTACTCTAAATCATACATGTCATAGGAGCTTTGAAATTTTGAAAAGTTGTCTGAAACAAAACTTGTGATCATAAAAAGAGAATGGATTGCTTTCTAAAGCAGTTTCTAATTTTTTCTATTTTTAGGAATGAATTCAAATTTTCAAAAGCTTCTATAATTTCAAATAGTATATTTGGCACACTTTCTCAAAAATGCAATAGATTCTGTCTGGTGACCTTTCTAAAAGTCCAACTTTTAACTGTTTTTGAGTCACATTTTCTGAGTCACACTCCTCTGTGTATACTTTCTCCAGTATGTATGAATCGAAACTAGGTTAATTTCCCATGTGCCTAAACCAATATTTTATTGTTTTATTTACTTTCTGTGTATGTGTGTATGGACTACTATTTATATTTTTCCAGTGTATATATGAAACAATAAATTTTAACTGTGTGTATTGACAAATATCATGTACTCTCCAGTGTGTATGAGCAAATATTATGTACTTTCACTAGTTATTTAACCAATACTCTGTACGTTCATACACACTGGAGAAAGTACATAGTATTTGTTCATACAAAATGTGTGTTCATAAACAATGGAGTACATCATATTTGTTCATACATACTGGAGAAAGTATATACACAGGCGTGTTGGTTCATGTCCATACTGGAGAAAGAGCGTAATGTCTCTTCATACACATTATAGATATTGTAGTACATTAAATTCGTTCATACTCACTGGTTTAGGTACATTTTATTCGTTCTGACACATTGATTAATTAACAACGCTAGAATGAACAATGTTTTGGTTCATGCACAATGAAGAAAGTACAAATCATTTGCTCATGCATGTTGGAGAATGGACACAAAATATTTATTCATACATGCAGGAGAAAGTACAAAAAATGTGTTCATTGAAAGTGGAGAACCCAATTCTATACTTTCTCCAGTTTGTATGAACAAATTCATCAATGTGTTTCATGCAACACATTTTAATTTGTAATTTAAGGTGCTATGTAAGTTTACAGAAATGACAAAACAAAAAATGTCAAAACCGTGCTGGATTCTGAATTTTTTTTGAACCAAGATAACAGAGTTCTGTTGGACCTCCAGTCAGTTTAACTAGTTCAACATATTTACATGACCGGGAAAACAAGGAAAATGGTCAGAATGACCATAAACATGATGAAATAACCTTTTTCAGCCCTCTGAAGATGTAAGTGAAAAATAGCTAAAAGTAGGTGCTCAGGAAAGGTCAATGAACAGAATCTCTTGATTTTTTTCAGAAAATGTGTCTAATATATTGCTCTAAATGATACAATCTTTGAAATTTTAAAAAATCGTCTGAAACAATAATTGCTGTAGTTAAAAGGAAAATAGATCGATTTTAAACTCAGTTTTTTTCTTTTTTTCTTTTTCTGAGAATGATATGAATTTTTTTAAATTGTATCATTTAGAGTAATATATTGGGCACATTTTCTGAAAAGGTTATTTCATTATGTTTATGGTCATTCTGACCATTTTCCTTGTGTTCCCGGTCATGTAAATATGTTGAACTAGTTAAACTGACTGGAGGTCCAACAGAACTCTGTTATCTTGGTTCAAAAAAATTTCAAAATACAGCATGGTTTTGACATTTTTTGTTTTGTCATTTCCTGTTAACTTCCATAGCACCTTAATTTGCATTTCCAAGTAAGATTTTTTAGAATTGTGCCTGTTTGTGAAATTAAGTCAATAAACTAACCATAAATGTCTGCAATAATAGAAAAATCAATAGTGATTTTTTGGGCATTTTGGTAAAGCCTTTGGTTTGTAATGGGAAGATTGTCTTTATCACTAGAACTGTTCTGCATGGGGTCTTTTGCACAATTGATAAATTATATACTATACTAATACATTACTATTTGCAATGTCTAGGTTTTATTCAAGTAACTGACTCCACTGAGTGTGTATTCAAATGTTGTGCTTATAAAATGTATCGACTCCTATACTACCTTTTGAATGAAAATAAACTCTTCCAAAAGTGATAGGACCTTAGTGCACCCATGCCATGGTAAGGACCTTAGGTTGGCATGCCAAAATGTAAAATCTCTACTGACAGTAGTTCGGTGCTTACAAGATTTGTTTAGAGGTCTTCTTCGTAGATTTCATCTATGTACGTACAAGTACTTGTACCAACATGTTCTAGTGTTTCCTCAATTGGGAGGCCTTTACAAGTTCTTTTCGTATTTTATGCTCTTTTCCTCGGTATTAGAACTGAGAGATTGATATTCAAAGTGATAGGTTTGTTTCACAATAGCTATTTTAGATGAACCGATTCGTTTAAAAAATAAAGGGTATATAAAGCAGGCAGTTAAAAGAAATAATTTGTAGAAAGATCAAATTTAGTGGTCAATGTTCAGAATTTCAACTTGATAACAAGTAATGACATATTAGATTTTCAAATAAATACAGGTTTCAGAAAAGATCAAACACGTTTAAACGTATAGGAGTTAGTTAAAAACGTTAATCAAAGACTCGACATGTTTTACTAACTCGTAAACACAGAGGCTTGATTGGGAAAACGCTTTTTGGCTAGATAATAAGTTATTTAATGACTTTACAAGATGGTGATGATGATGTTTGATAGTGCTTGCACAGGCGTTATTTTTAAAGGTGAGTTTTCTCACAGTAATTGTTCAGAAAAAGAAAGCAAAATATTTCAATGTAGAAAGAGTTACACGTATAAAGTAGTTTTATAAGCTTACTTGAAATATCTTCAAAACTAGAATTGTGGTTGACAGATTATCAAAACTTAATACGAAGGCATTTGGATGTGCCCATTTTTAAAAATGTTATAGGTTAATATAGAGTTGAGATTAGAGTTTATTCCAGGGTAGACAATCGTAAAGCATTTTTGTAGATCTAGATGACAGGACAGTGAAGCTTGATTTCGAACTACAACTTTCATCAAGAATGTTGTTCATTAATTTTAAAACGTAATGCAATGAGAACTTTAGAGTTGCAAAAGCTTAACATTTTGACTTTAGGCTTTTAAAATCATAAAAAGAGGCGTTTTCAAACAATCCTTTTGTGGAACAAGACCCGGGTAAAGTCAGAGTAGTTAGTTTAATTCACACGTTTTGGTGGTAAAAGTTAACATGTATTTGCTTTAAGATTTAAGATTCATTTTAAAGTTACAGTATAATCAGGCACAGGCTAAATAGTTAAAGCAATTGTTTATTTGACATAGATATTAGTTTGTTGATACAGCACATTGAAGATAATGTGCACGCTTATATTAGCAAATGCATGTATTGCGCATTTAGCACAATTGCTATACAGACAAGCACACTGGGTTGTGTAAGAACATTCATTAACATCTTATACAGCTTAGCATATTCGAATGGACAGGTAATGACGTGCAAGAAAGCACGCCATGATATGCAGGTAAGCACATCACTAGGTGCAGGTAAGCATATCAAGATACTTTTCTGTGGAGGTAAACAGTGATATTCAGGTAAGAATAACGTGGTGTACAAGATAACACATTGTGATCTACATGTAAGCACTGTAATGCTCATACAATCAAATTGCGATGAAGAGGTACTCTCACTGGGATGTGCATGAAAGCACATTGTAATATATAGGCTAGCACAATGGGATTTGCAGATCGTACACACTGATTTACAGGTGACCACACTGTGATGCATGCATAGGTAAGCATATTATTGTGACATGCAACGTGATGTGAATGTTAGCACACCGTAATATAAAGGCAGGCATACCATTACGTGCAGGTTAGCACACTGATAGTTGAACGTAAGCAGACCATTATATGCAGGTAAACACACTGTGATGTACAGATAAATTAAAACGGGACGTGTATGTATGCATAACATGGCGCGTACAGGTAAGCCACTGTGATGTGTACGTAAACACACTGTGATATGAAGGTTAACCAACTGAGATATGTAAGTAAGCACAAAGTTATGTGATTGGTAGCACATTTTATTGTGTAGGTTAGCACGCCGTGACATGCAGGTTAGCACACCGTGATGTGCAGGGTAGCACACTGTGATGTGCAGGTTAGTACAGTGTGATATGTATATAAGCACGCTGTGACGTGAAGGCTAGCACACCGTGATGTGCAGGGTAGCACACTGTGATATGCAGGTTAGCACAACGTTATGTGCAGGGTAACACAGTGTGATGTGTATATGAGCACGCCGTGACGTGCAGGCTAGCACACCGTGATGTGCAGGTTAGCACACCGTGATGTGCAGGGTAACACAGTGTGATGTGTATATTAGCACGCCGTGACGTGCAGGCTGGCACACCGTGATGTGCAGATTAGCACACCGTGATGTGCAGGGTAACACAGTGTGATGTGTATATTAGCACGCCGCAACGTGCAGGCTAGCTCACCGTGATGTGCAGGGTAACACACTGTGATGTGCAGGTAAGTACACTGTAATGTGCAGAGTAGCACACAGCGATGTGCAGGGTAGCATACCGTGATATGCAGGGTAACACAACGTGATGTACAGGGTAGCATACTTTGATGAGCAGGTAAGCACGTCATGATGTGCAGGGTATCAGTGATGTGCAGGTAAGCACAGCGAGATGTGCAGGTAAGCACACTGTAATGTGTAGGTAAGCACACTGTAATGTGTAGGTAAGCACATTGTAATGTGTAGGTAAGCACACTGTAATGTGTAGGTAAGCACCCTGTGATGTACAGGTAAGCACATCGTGATGTGCAGGTAAGTAAATAGAATAGTGGTGTGTAGGTAAGCACACTGTAATGTGTAGGCAAGCACATTGTAATGTGTAGGCAAGCACATTGTAATGTGTAGGTAAGCACCCTGTGATGTGCAGGTAAGCACATCGTGATGTACAAGTAAGTACACAGTGATGTGTAGGTAAGCACATCTTGATGTGTAGATATGCACACCATGGTTGCAGTTAATCACAATATGATGTGAAGGTAAGCACACTGTGGTTTGAAGGTTAGCAAACTGTAATGCGCGGGCAAGAAAACTGGAAAATCCTTGAAACATACGGGATATACAGATGTAATGTGATGTGTATGTAAACACATTGAAATGTATAGGCAAAAACATTGGGATGTTCAGGTAAACATTGAGATGTTTAGGTAAACTCGCAGAGATATTCAGATAAGCATATTGAGAAATGCACGTGAATACACCAGATTATGATAGTGCACAAAATGAGAATTGCTAACGACATTTCTATATATGCGAGATTACGATGTATATGCTGACACAAGTTTATAGTTTAGACGTGTGTAATGTACCACTGCATAAGAATTACAATTCACAGGTAAACATGTCATGATAGGCAATATACAACCTGATGATTTCTATATGTATTTCATTGGTCAATTACTTTTCAGGTATTTTGATCTGGATGGTGTCCATTTATATTGAACAATTTTCTTTAGATATTGCTGAATTGCAGATGAGCTGTTGGAAAATCAGTGAGTCGTTCACGAATAGATTTATTGTTAAAGATATTGTTGTAATTATACATTTAAAATTTGTTAATGGATATATTTCCAGGCTGGTAGAGCAGTAATTAAAGTAAAGTGATGTTTATATGCCGAACTAAGGGATTTTGGCACAGATGTTGCAAGCACCGTTGTGCTAAAGGGCTGACTAACACAACTGAAAGAATGTACAATTGCCTTGTGACAAATATGTTGTCAAATCTGACATAGGATGGATATACAGTACGTCATATGGACTTCATAACATTTGTGATTCAACATCAGTCAAATATATCAGCGATGGGACATTTGAACTGATATTCAAACAATCGCAGACGGAGCCAGTTACAGCATTGTTTGTTATGATTCTTCCTAACACGAAACGATCATTGAACTTTATACCTCTTGGAGACATTGCAATGTGTAACTTAGGGTTTGCTGCTTTTTGCTTTACATTGAGATGACATTATATTTTAGCATTGGTTCAGTGTAAAATAATTCAAATACTGACCGACATTTAAAGACAGGATTGTTGAATAAGTATTTCTGCCGAAGACTGATACTTTTATCTATAAAGTGTTGGTATCTAGAATCTGTGGATTCAAATTGACATAATCAATTTATTGTTCTATATCTTTCCCGTTCTTTAGATTTTCTGTGTGCCAAGTGCTCTCATTCCTTGAAACTGAAAGTTGGTGTTATGTTGTATGACGGGTAGTGATGAGAGAATAGAATGGCTATTTATGTTCGGTGGAGCGTAGCGACTTTAGAACATAAATGCTTTCTATTGGCTGAACGATGAGTTCAGTTCAATGTAGAGTTATGTGAGTGAGTGGATGTTTTCGTGGTGAAGGTAGAGTGTATAGAAAGACATTCTGAGCTTTGTCACCGTGTAGTCAACACATACACTTCGTTTTAATATTCACATTACAGTGTTGTATTCGTAAATTTCAAACATTATGTATCAACTCTTGTAAGAGTATTGTTCAGTAATAATATACATGTAGATAGTGGTTTTGATTGACATACCTTTTCATCTCCAAAGAAACCTCAGTTTAGATGAAGATGGTTTCTTTTTAAAGCTTGTAAGGAGTCCTCGGTCTCTCATAATAAGAATAGAGGTTTTAATGGTGCCAATCAGATTCACTTTATACGTATTAATAGTTCTAGGATTCACTGAGATATCATTATACTTTATATAGGCTTGATTATTAACGTTAATTTGATCTGTATACATACATTTTACGCACAATGAGTCCTCGACAATCGAACAAACATTTGTGTCTTGTCAACCCCGTCTTGCGGGATAACGCTACTAATAAACACGGGTGCCAAGTGCTCTCATTCCTTGAAACTGAAAGTTGGTGTTATGTTGTATGACGGGTAGTGATGAGAGAATATACACTGTGTTCTATACCAATTGTCAGGTTACGTTCAGATAAACACAACACTTGATTACAAGAAAAGCAATAGGCTTGTGGCCGCAGTACAGAAAACTAGAGCAAGTGAGGATAAATATATCTTGAAATTACAAGGTGAACTAAAGCCCAAGTTTCATTGTTACACCTAGTCTGTGAATGAGATCGTCTTTTATGTACCCGTCTTTTGCGGTTTCTGTTTTCCATCTCCCATGTCTTTTAAAATTTCTGTCTAAAACCGAAGCGTTGGCAGCTGCCGTGGCTCCACCTGATCTTAAAGAGTGTACTCCGAAGAGTTTTGGATCCAACCCAATGCTTTTTAAATGTGCCAAAACAAGTTCTCTGACCGTGGTATAAGAGAGCTTTTTATTAGCCATTCTGGCGACGAATCTACCTTGTTTGAAAGATAAGCCTCTGAAAATAAATTGATCATCACCGAGAGATTGGGTAGGATTCAAAGCATTTCAATACTGCTTAAGAAGCCTGAACGGGCATGTAACATTTCCCGTTTTAGCTACTACCACAGTATTTCCCTCCCTGTATACATCTGTTTTAGATGAGGTAATTGAAATGGTGAAGTAATGCTCTTTAAAAGAAATGTCCCCGAGCGTTATGTTTGACAGCTCGTCATATCTAAGGAACGCTGCAAAGCCAAGTACACATATAGTAACGTTTCTTAAGTCTTTGAGAGAGCTATTATCGTTTAACGATTCTGCTAGTCTTGTCAACATTTCAGCTGTGATCGGTTCCTTTTTGACAACGGGCTTGCCAGATTGTCTTTTTGAAGCTTCTAAAATATTAGACACCAAGGACGACGAACAAGGATCACTCAGACCTGCCGTCTTGTGCACCCAGCTAATACTAGATTTGATAGCACTAAGTACGTGATGAGAAGAACCGCTTTGCATTTGCGAAAGCATGAAGATAGCTATAAATTTTGGTTCACCTGTGATGTCTTTTACTTCGTCAAATTTTTCGGTCCATGTTGTCCATTTTTGAAAGTAACAATTGTATTTTTTCTGCGTGTTGTCACTTGTTCCGTGATGTGCGATTTCAGACATTAAATCCACCGATAGTGCTGCTAGTTGTGGATCTTTAATAGGTTGCAGTGAAGCCAAGCCATGCTGAATGATCCTGAAATATTGAACATGTTCTTATTGGAATTGTAGAATGTTTCTAATTAAGTAGTACATGAAAACAAAAAATTAATTGCCATTCTTGTTTCGACAAATGCTTCTATTGTAGAATGCGATGTGACAGCATCTAAAATATAAACTAGAATATGTTACAGCATTGTTCCATCTGTCTCGTGTATTTCGTTTTGCTGTAAACTGCTAATATAAGCATTTGTGTTAAAACAATTACAGAACATTTTAATTGCAGTTTCATGCTCTAAGAAGTTATGTACTGATTTGCATAATTATCTTTAATCTAAACTATGAATCAACTGTTGAATTATCGAATGACGAATTAACAAACGTTTTCATATAAATACGAATAATTACATATATAAAAACATGCATACACAATATTAATCATAACTGTCTTGTGACATCTGTTATACTATAGCCTAGGCAGTTTCTCGAATCTTATCAATCTAGCCTCGGCGGCATCCAATCATATACCAACACATTATATTGCCTCGGCGGCTTCTCTTATTTTATCTTTCTAGCCTCGGCGGCCTCCAATCTTAAATCAACACATTATATTGCCTCGGCGGCTTCTCTTATTTTATCTTTCTAGCCTCGGCGGCCTCCAATCTTAAATCAACACATTTTATTGCCTCGGCGGCATCTCTTATTTTTTCATTCTAGCTTCGGCGGCCTCCAATCATATATCAAAGTATATATAGTAATGCCTAGTCAGCATCTCAAATCATTTTTTGGCCTCGGCGGCTTTCAAAATACCTCAAAATTGCCTTGAATTTCAAATCGTGGCCTCGGAGGCATTTCAATTTTAATATATCATAACATTGCCTCGACGGCAGATTCAGTCGGTCAAATAACATAATGTAATTGCCTCGGGGGGGGGGGGGGGGGTGGTTGTGTAATAGAATGATTTATATCAATCAATATACGCCTCGGAGGCTTCAAACAAATGCTATCAGCTTAAAATTGCTTCTGCGGTGTTGCCAACTTTCCATTCAATCTTAGTGCCAAAACATGAGATTTTAATGCGGTGGTGCCGAAGATTGTATTTCTAAACTGACCCTGTCTGAAAATTTTCATGGGATTGCAAAATTCGATATGATCTATGACTATGTCTTCAAAACTTCCATTTTTGCATATGAATGGCCAAAAATATGAGGATGGCCATTTTGGTACGATCAAAGTTGCCATAGCTTTACATACTTTAACGTGTTTGATGACTCTACCAATGTCTTGAATGGGAGGCACGACCCAGTTGCTCTCGCCAGACCAATTGAAACTAAAGGCATCTACGCCTTCTGATTTTGGCTCCGAGAATTTTGAATTAAATCTCACAGTTTGGGCATTTTTCTCACTTGCGAATCTGTCGATAGTATGAATACCATATCTTTTGCTCAACAAATGAAATATAGATGGCAGCACAATCCAATCATCCGGATCTAATGTTTTGCTCAGAGCATCTGCCTCGACATTGAACTCTCTGGGAACCCATTGGAAATTCAGACAAATATTTGATGCGGAACTTTGTTTGAAGATTTTAACTGCGATATCTTGGAGTTCTTGAATCATGCTACCTTTACTAGTTATGGACACAACATTCTTGTTATCTGTTGACCAAGAGACAGTTTTTCTCGCAAGTGTTTCTTTGAAAGTATCTAGAACTATTTCTACTGTTTTTAATTCTCTGAAAGTTGAACTTTTCCTACTTTCTGTTTCTGACCATTTCAACAAACATCGTTCTTTTGAATTTTCCCCCACAAGAATGCCCGCTGCAGCAGAGTCTGATGCATCGGAAAAAACGATTCTTTCAGGAATACTATATTCTACTAGACTGACCCCATTGTATTTATCTATGTCATTCAACCAGAAAAACAATTCGTTTTTGTCGTTGACTGAGAGAATTGTGAAGTGTTCCCAGTTGACTATGCCAGCTATTTTCATGCTTAGATATCTTGTCATTAACTGACATATTTTCCCCAGACCTTGATTCATAGCTATGATCTTTCCAACAATTTCGGCAATTTGTCTGTATTTCACCTTTTTCTGCCTCAATAAGCCACTAATTGCAGATTTCAGACCCTCAATTTTGTAA